CATGTCCTCAGCCCTGCATTAAAAAAAAAAAAAAAAAACTCATGTTCTAGTATTTTACGTACCTAATGCATTATCTTTCTCTTCATCACTAAGCTACATCCTCAACCCTCTTTGGTCTTGAAAGGAACATATCCTGTAGCATCATCACCTTCCCAAGTTTCCCCAGGATATGTCATATTCTTTCCAGGATATCCTATGCCTATCCCTGAGAAGGTTTTCTTCTCTTTTCATGAAAAATATTGCTGTCTTTTCATGAAAAACTACACAATTATTTTCCTCCCACAGTAAATTTACCTTACTTTCAGCCTCAAATCTAAGTAACATCTGTACCATCACTGTGTTAAGTACTAGATGTGTGTGTTCCCTCATAATTCACGTGTTAAAAATCCTATCAATGTGCCGGGTGTGGTGGCACATGCCTTTAATCCCCGCACTTGGGAGGCAGAAGCAGGAGGATCTTTGTGAGTTTGAGTTTGGTCTACATAGTGAGTTCCAGGACAGCTAGGGCTACAGGGAGACCCTGTCTCAAAAAAGACAAAAAAACAAAAAAAAAAATCAATAATGTGTGCTGAAGAGACGGCCCAGTGGTTAGGAGCACTGACTGCTCTTGCAGAGGACCTGGGTTTGATTCCCAGCACCCACATGGCAGCCAACAACCATCTGTAACTCCAGTTCTAGGGGATTCAATGCCTCTTCTGACCTCCACAGGCATCGCATGACACAGGCGCACTTATATGCACGCAATACACTTACACACTAATGTGCTGTACACATCAAAAATTCAGATGCAAGGATGTTGAATGTTTTTACCATAAAGAAATGACAAATGTTTGGAAATGGGTATATTTAACCCAATTTAAACAGTATGCAACATGTACATGCTTCCAAACACCACACAGCATGCTATCCATCCACATGTACAATTTTTATGTTTTCATGTACTAGTTAGGAATAAATTTAAAATAGATAAGATCCAGATGGATTGAGGATTTTAAAAATGGTTATGATTGTAAATTTTGTTACGTGTATTTTAGCACAATTTTAAAGAGTGGGAAAAAGGAAGGACCAGGACAGTGAAAAAGATGGGCCCACAGCCCCCCACAAAGAGGGGGATGCCTTCAGCACCATAGGAAATTAGGGGAGCCAGGCAGGCCGGTGAAGGCTACCCTTGGGTGCACAGTCTGGGAAAACCTGAGTCCTCCTCTGTCTGAAACCAGAGCCTCCTTTAGAAATTCACAGATGGAGGCATGGGGAGGCCCTTCGGCCCTGACATCTTGGGGTGCAGTCAGGGAAAGATGAAGCAAAAGAAAGGAGGGGGCTGGGGAGAGGCACAGGGCTGGGAGGACGGGCACCCATCCCACATAGAAGGCCAAGGGAAGCAGAGAGGGCTGGGAGCCAGGCACCAAGAGGGTCAGCCCCAAGCCCCTCCCAAAGACAAACTCTAGAGTCCCCAGTAAGCCTAGGGCAGGACATTCCTGGAGGCAACCCCCAAGGAGGTCCCATCCCAGCCTGTAACTGCTCCTCACCCTCCTGGGCTAGCCTGAGCACCTTGGCAGGTGGCCAGAAGGAAGCCAGGTCAGGGGTGGCTGGCAGGACAGGACAGCAATGGAAAAGTGGGGAGAGCTATCCCAGTTTGATTTTTAAAAACAGAAAGGGGGCTGGAGAGATGGCTCAGGGGTTATGGGTAAGAGTGCTGACTGCTTTTGCAGAGGACCCAGGTTTGATTCCCAGCACCCACGTGGTGGCTAACAACAATCTGTAACTCCAGTTCCAGGGGATTCAACCTGTCTTCTGTCTTCTGACCTCTGCAGGCATTGCATGACATGGGTGCACTTACACACATGCAGGTAATACACCTGTACACATAAAATTAAAAAAAAAAAGAAATATTTTAAAAAACAGAAAGGGAGGGGCTGGGGAGGTGGTTCAGCAGTTAAGAACACTGGTTGTTCTTGCAGAAGACCCGGGATCAAATCCCAGCACCCACATGGCAGCTAACAACTGTCCCTAACTCCAGTCCCAGGGGATCCGACGGCCTCTTCTGACCTCCGCGGGCATTGCACAACACAGTGCACTTAACTACATGCAGGCAATACACACATACAGATAAAAATGTTTAAATAATGATAAAAAATAAAAACAGAACGGGAAGGAGAGGGAGGAAAGAAGGGAAGATGGGAGGGAAGGAGAGAGGAAGGAAGGGATCAGAAAGTAAGTGAACACATGTGGAGGAACTGAAATCCCTGTACGTTGCTGGTGGAAATGGTGGGGTAAAGCCATTTTGTTAAACGGTTTGCAGGTTTCTTAAAGAACTCTACAGAGAAACACAATACACACACACACACACACACACACACACACACACTTGTGAATGGGCTACTGGGTCCCCCTGCTGTGGGGGCTGGAGAGACAGCTCAGTGGTTAAGAGCACTGGCTGCTCTTGCAGAAGACCAGGGTTCGATTCCTGACATGGCTGGAACTTGGGCCAAACTGGTGATGGATTACATTGGGAGCTGGGCAAGTCAAGTCCTCTCCCATTTACATGGTGCCAATCATAATCCTGAATTTTATATCCCAAATGTTGAAATCTTGAAAGAGCAAAGTCCCCCAAGTTTAAAATCCTGCTCCTGAAATATTAAACATTAAAATCCTGAATGTTGACATCCCAGAGGCTAAAATCCCAAAAGCGTCAATTCCCGGATAAAAGCTGTGCGGCAGGAGCTGCCGCTTTCAGCGTGGTCTCGGTGCTAAAGGATGCCTAGAAACCGGGAACATGTTTCTGTGAGGATGGCTCCAGGGAGTAGAGTTGGAGCCTTGGTGGGCCAGGTGGGGAGACCCACCTGGTAGGTAGTGAATGGGAACATTGTCTCCAGAAAGTGAGACGCTCACAGCAATGCAAGGCTTCAAAACAGTCAGAGGACGGGAGCATCCAAACCCCCACCCACCATGTGCATCACTGTGCACAGTCCATCCCGGTGGCCACTGTACTGTCAGTCATGTCCTCCTCTCATTTTATGTGTATGAGCGTATTGCCTGCGTGAGTGTAAGTACATCCGTTGTCGTGCAACACCCACAGAGATCAGAAGAGGGAGTCAGATCACCTGGAACAGGAGTTACAGATGGTTGTTAGCTGCCATGTGGGTGCTGGGAATTGAACCTGGGTCCTCTGGAAGAGCAACCAGTGCTCCTAGCCACTGAGCCGTCACTTCAGCTACGATTTTTGACATGGTATTGTCTTTTCCAATTCTCTGCACTGTGGAGTTTACCTTCACTTACATTCTTGCAAAGGCTGGAGGTCTGATGTAAATTGCATAAAGACTTCTGGAGAGTTCTAATCCCTTTTCAGCACTTTCTGCTGTTGCGACTCAGGAAACAGCATCCTAAGGCGCGGACTTTGGGTAAACGCATTACGCGTGTCCATGACGACACACTCTTTCTGCTTTGGTGAAACATAAAATTTCCTGAGACCTTGGCCTTTTGGGCAAATCAGGTGGATTTTGATGGCTTTTGTCAGAGGACAGGGTTACCTTGTGACACTCTGGATGACCGAGGTGATAAAGCTGGGTATCCGCGATCATCAACCACAGAGATTTGTTAGTATGTCTTGATTCAGTCTGTCTCTGCCTAACTGACATAAACTCACTGTGCGCGTCCCTGAGCAAAACTTACAAAAGTGTTTATGCTGTGATGATCTATTTTATTGTGTGAAGTGGCCTGTGAATATCCCACCAACGTTTGTGTCTCCCAAGTAAATCTCCCATTGAAAATGTCAGTATCTGTCTCTTAAAGATTTTATATAGATAGATAGATTAGATAGATAGATGATAGAGATGATAGAAGATAGATAGATAGATTAGATAGATAGATGATAGGGATATAGATAGATAGATAGATAGATAGATTGATTGATTGATAGATAGATGATAGATAGATAGATAGATAGATAGATAGAAAG